CTGTTTATCTTTTTTTTCCCCCCCCCCCCCCCCAAATCCTGCAGAAGTGAACTGGTCCTAGGAACAGATACCCTTTTAGTCCAAAAGCATGAAGGAAAATATCCCTGAGGCACAAAACTATGGTAACCAGAAGCAGCTCATTCTATTGGAGGCTTTGCTAAAAAGAAAGTGCAGTTCCAGTGACGCAAAATAAGCTTTACTAATGCATAGCTTGTGCCCGCATCTCTCCTTTTAGTCATATTTGCATGGCAACTGATCCGAGACCATAGCCTTGTTTTATTCCAGTCCTTAAGCTGTGAGGTCCTTAGAGCATACATTGCAACTCTATAGGTAACATAGTGCATGTGTTAGCCTGGGTATTTTTCAAGGAATTGGCACTTAAAAGACATACAGGGATTAAAAACCTTCCATGGCTGTCAATTGGAAAGGATGCCTGAAAGCACTTATTCTTCTTGGATAAATGCATTTGTGCTGGTCTTTGCCTACACCTTTGCAATTCCTTCCCAATTAAGTCTTAATAAATTCTCAAAATGCTTGAGTAGGATTATATTGGTGTTAAAGCCAAGGGTACTGGTCAAGTCAAGAGGGTCTCACTGACAGAGCAGCCCCTCCTAATCCTCTCTGCAGTGCCCATCACCACTGCCTGGACCTACAGAAAGAGACTTCTAACATCCTGCTCAAGCCAGGACCAACCATACCATGGCCAGCTCTCCCACCAGCAGCATCCATGCAGCCTGCTGGCGTTTGAAGGCATTGCTGCAGCAAACTCACGCATAAAGCCACAGCGAGCTGATGCTGGGGGAGATGCTGCCACCAGCATTTCGGGGAGCAGTTGCTTTTCGGGGGCTGCACACAAAATCCCTGGAAAAAAGGCTGGCTGCAGGTGGGGAAGGAGATTGGGGTGGTGATGCTCTGAGGTGATGCCAGGCAATAACAGCAGCGACGCCGTTACACAAACGGCGCTGACCTACTTGCCCAGGATCACCCAAGGTAACTGCTTTCCCAAGGAGCCCTGTGCCCAGATACCCTCTCCTGGCCCATTTAGCCAGCAGGAGTGTGGAAAAACAAGCTGATGGAAGTATGCTCGAATGGTAAGTACCAGATTATTAATATTCCGGACGAGTGCTTCAATACTGAAATGGGGATTTCTGCAAGCTTTTTATTGCCCTGACAGCAAGACAGCCCCGTGAGAGAATGCACAAAATAAAGCAGAAGAAAAGCTCTCAGATGAAGGGGTTTGCAGTGCTGTAAGTCAACATAATAATTTTAAATTGTTTACTGCAAATATATTCAACTGCAGGCTAAACACAGCATGTTTTTCTTTACATCCAAGCTCCAGGAGTTATATTAGCCAGCAACCTGATAGGCAAACGTACCTTGGGTGAACAGAAAAAATACAAATCAACTTGCCAACCCATTTTATTCGAAGGGGCAGAAGATATTTAGACAATCCCAATCCAACACAAAAACCTAAACTCTAGTCTGGGATACAAATGAGAGAGAAGATGAACAGCAAGTAAAATAACTTTTTTCTTTTTTAAAACCTCCCCCAGCCTTTACAAAGCAAGGCACCCTGGAAATTGTAGAACAATTGAAAAAAAAAAAAAAAGATTTCTAGGCACCCAGAGAGTTTCACAACACACTAAATAAGGTGCTATAGCTTACAGCAGGATTGTTCTGCAGTAAAGCCTGTCATGTAATTCACTGACAGCAGATTAGGCCCCTATTAAGTAAGTGTTTGTGGTGATTTTTCAAGGGGAGGAGAAGGGAGAGGGAAAAGAGAGAAGCACAAACCAACCCCAAAAGTACTTACATCCACGGCACACTCAAAAATGGTGTCATCCAGCAAGACAACTTTGCAGTACATGTTTCTGTGTCTTTTTAATGCTTTCTGGGCAGCTTTCAAATCCTTGTCTGCTTTGGTCTCCGGAGTCTCTTGTTTTGGCTCTGGCTTGGCACACTCCTCCTTCACTTCCCCTCCTTCCTTGCCCCCGAGGTCTTTGCTGTCCAGCTCCTGGTCGTCCCTCCTCTCCTCCTGCGCAGGCTGAAACCCCGAAACCCCAACATCACTCAAGTTGCAACTTAGATGTGTCAAGCAAAAAAACCATCACGTGAAACAAGGGATGTGCATAGGTGTGCTGTAGGGCTGGGATCTCACTCCAGAATTAGTTATCTGGCTTACATGTGTAACCTGGGACCTGGAGCAGCACCCTGGATGAGCAAGGGAATGATACTTATTTTTAAAGCCCTTAAAGTCATTCTCAAGTCTTCATTTAATAAGGGATGTAATAAAAAAAAAAAAAAAGGGTTGATTAGAGAAATCAGGGCAGATTACATTATGCAAACCTCCATGGTCTTAACAACGGCACCTTTTGGACCAGTAAGTTTTTCCCGTCCTAGGCAAAACACCCAGCGCACCCACTGCACTCCCTGCACGTGCCCCCACGCTCGCGCTGCCGCACCAGGCGATGGGCTTTGCTCCAGTGCGCTGGAGCACTCGGTATGGCAGCAGTGCTATTAGAAGGGGGGTCAGTGCTGAGAGTTCACGGCCGTCCAAGCTGACTGAGCAGCTCTCTGCCACCAAAAAGGGAAGGCAGCCTTCATACCGCTCTCCCTTTGCCTACTCTAGCACTACATGAGACAATTTAATTCACTATAATAGCAGAAAGAGATGCAGTTTGGGGACAGGAGGAGGAAGGAAGCTGGGCTTTTTTTTTCTGCTGCCATTTCAGCAGGTTAAATGAGTTCATGGCAGGCTCTGACAAGTGCTGGAAGTGGCTCGATGCAGCAGGATCATGCAGCCGCGGCAGAGGAAGGGCAAAACCCTGTCTTTTCAGCCCATTGCATCTCATGAAATCCCATCCAAGCACAACTGCACGGAGGTATTTAAAAACTAAATAATGTCCACAAGCTGCTGACTTCTGTTCCAGCAGGGCCGGGACAATCAGGAGCAGGGAATCAGTCAAAGCTCGTAATGCCCGTCGGTCAGCATTTATCAAAGAGGCAGCACGTCGCAAATGCTTTCACAGCAGAAATATCTGCCGAGTGTCACAGTTCAAAAAGCCACTGACGTTGATCTAAAATAAGAACTAAAAAAAAAAAAAAGAAAAAACCACGAACGCTTCGTCTGAAATGAACAGCCCATGGTGAAGGAAGGCTGTGGGTGCACGCTCACATGTGCTCAGAGGCAGCAAATCAAAGTTGAATAGAGAAAGAAATCATGCGTTTCCTCTTGAAGACACAATTTCTGGGCTGAAATTACATTAAAATTTCCAGCTCCTCCCCATTCTGCTAATCCCAGCCCTCAGAGGTACAAAACACGAGCAGAGATCATCCCATGATTTTCACAGGTTTGGAAATTTGGGGAAAGAAAGGAAGAGGTGTTACCTACTACCACTACCCTCTCTACAACTTCATCATTTTAAGGAGGTGGATTTACAATTACTGCCTACAGTTGGCAGAACTCTAGCTTGTAAAGTATTGCTCCAAAAGTCAAGAGTTTGCAGATTTGTAGGTTTGTAACAGGTGGTTTTTGTAACACCTCTCTGGAACCCATTCAAAACTTAAGGCAGCAGGTCGGTTGGGCTGTAAGAAATCCCCGTCTCAGAAGGGGCACCACCTTTCTCTAACTCCAGGCAGCCACACTAATCACGGCAGAGCTGCAATTACCCAAGGAGTAAGAGAGGGCATCCAACACCCCCAAATCAGGAACCAGCTGCAGCTTTGTGAATGTCTCCCTGTGGGTGCGTCTGCCGCAGTTTCTACCATGCTTTAAAAACACTACGCTTTGCATGAAAAATGACCCCGGCTGTAAAGAGTAGACATCAGACAGCTACTAGGAGCTGGGCTCAGCCCACGTGCTGTGCAGAAATCCCTGCCTACATGATGCATAAGCAGAAAATATTTGTATTTGGCAGGCTCAGCATCAGCCTGGACTGAGCAGATGACCCAAGTCCTGAAACGCCACGCTTGCACTCCTTGAAGAAACCCTTTCCCAAATCCATGTCCTCTTGCAACCCCGACCTCACGCCACTGACCTGCCTTTATTCTGCACACACCAAGGACATCCCAATGAGCAACCGGTCCCTCGTGAATTATGAATCTGAACCCTAGTTCTGATGTGACTTCCCATGCCTCAGCAGAGTGAAGAGTCAGCACAGGGTGTTTCAATTTATGCTGTGAAGTGTGAGCACAATTTCAGGAGCAGGTACTTTGCAGGACAGTCTGATACAGGAATGCAAGAGTGGGAAGTAAGCAATGCAATATAGGGAGCTGACAAGAGTGTTTTTAGCATCTCCTGAGTTTTTCTGATCGAGCTTAGGATGGGAAGTTCTTACGGTTTTGGCTGAAAAGACATGTTTTCAAGAACAGAAGGGAGCACGCCACGTGGAGCAGGGTGTTCTTACCTGTGTTTCTGCACTGCTTAAGGAATGCAGATCTAGTGATGGATCGGTTTTGAGCTCAGGCTCAGGAGCTGCAATTGGGGCTTTCACCAGGATATCTTCATCAGGGCTGGCTCCTAATCCTGGGTCTTTCTGGTCACCTCCTGCCTCTTTAGGAGCATCAGTGTCTTTGTCCTCTTCGGACACCTGAGACTTGGGCCTCCTGAGAAAGGATGAGAAGAGGCGGGAGAGACCCCGGCCCTCGGAGGTGCGGCGCTCCTTCTTGCTCTGCTCCTCGTGCGTGGGTGTATCGCCGTTGGAGGCCTTCTGCTTCTGCCCTGCTGCAGGCTGTCCCTCTGATGTCTGCTGAGCACCTTCTTCTAGGGAAGCCTCTTGCTTTTGTGTTTCAGCAGCTCCTTCCTCCTCCTTGGCTTGCTGCTGCTCTGAATTGTCGGCATCCGCTGCTAGACTCTTCTCTGTTGTCATGATGATGCTGCAAGAGAGATCCAAAAGGTCTCAATCAAGAGCTTTCCAATATTTAAGTCCGCATTAAGCTATTCAAACCAAGCCACAAACACAGACACCACGTTCCCCAGTCGTAACACCTTGTCCTAGCTATAGCTTACAGCAGGATTGTTCTGCAGTAAAGCCTGTCATGTAATTCACTGACAGCAGATTAGGCCCCTATTAAGTAAGTGTTTGTGGTGATTTTTCAAGGGGAGGAGAAGGGAGAGGGAAAAGAGAGAAGCACAAACCAACCCCAAAAGTACTTACATCCACGGCACACTCAAAGATGGTGTCATCCAGCAAGACAACTTTGCAGTACATGTTTCTGTGTCTTTTTAATGCTTTCTGGGCAGCTTTCAAATCCTTGTCTGCTTTGGTCTCCGGTGTCTCTTGTTTTGGCTCTGGCTTGGCACACTCCTCCTTCACTTCCCCTCCTTCCTTGCCCCCGAGGTCTTTGCTGTCCAGCTCCTGGTCGTCCCTCCTCTCCTCCTGCGCAGGCTGAAACCCCGAAACCCCAACATCACTCAAGTTGCAACTTAGATGTGTCAAGCAAAAAAACCATCACGTGAAACAAGGGATGTGCATAGGTGTGCTGTAGGGCTGGGATCTCACTCCAGAATTAGTTATCTGGCTTACATGTGTAACCTGGGACCTGGAGCAGCACCCTGGATGAGCAAGGGAATGATACTTATTTTTAAAGCCCTTAAAGTCATTCTCAAGTCTTCATTTAATAAGGGATGTAATAAAAAAAAAAAAAAAGGGTTGATTAGAGAAATCAGGGCAGATTACATTATGCAAACCTCCATGGTCTTAACAACGGCACCTTTTGGACCAGTAAGTTTTTCCCGTCCTAGGCAAAACACCCAGCGCACCCACTGCACTCCCTGCACGTGCCCCCACGCTCGCGCTGCCGCACCAGGCGATGGGCTTTGCTCCAGTGCGCTGGAGCACTCGGTATGGCAGCAGTGCTATTAGAAGGGGGGTCAGTGCTGAGAGTTCACGGCCGTCCAAGCTGACTGAGCAGCTCTCTGCCACCAAAAAGGGAAGGCAGCCTTCATACCGCTCTCCCTTTGCCTACTCTAGCACTACATGAGACAATTTAATTCACTATAATAGCAGAAAGAGATGCAGTTTGGGGACAGGAGGAGGAAGGAAGCTGGGCTTTTTTTTTCTGCTGCCATTTCAGCAGGTTAAATGAGTTCATGGCAGGCTCTGACAAGTGCTGGAAGTGGCTCGATGCAGCAGGATCATGCAGCCGCGGCAGAGGAAGGGCAAAACCCTGTCTTTTCAGCCCATTGCATCTCATGAAATCCCATCCAAGCACAACTGCACGGAGGTATTTAAAAACTAAATAATGTCCACAAGCTGCTGACTTCTGTTCCAGCAGGGCCGGGACAATCAGGAGCAGGGAATCAGTCAAAGCTCGTAATGCCCGTCGGTCAGCATTTATCAAAGAGGCAGCACGTCGCAAATGCTTTCACAGCAGAAATATCTGCCGAGTGTCACAGTTCAAAAAGCCACTGACGTTGATCTAAAATAAGAACTAAAAAAAAAAAAAAGAAAAAACCACGAACGCTTCGTCTGAAATGAACAGCCCATGGTGAAGGAAGGCTGTGGGTGCACGCTCACATGTGCTCAGAGGCAGCAAATCAAAGTTGAATAGAGAAAGAAATCATGCGTTTCCTCTTGAAGACACAATTTCTGGGCTGAAATTACATTAAAATTTCCAGCTCCTCCCCATTCTGCTAATCCCAGCCCTCAGAGGTACAAAACACGAGCAGAGATCATCCCATGATTTTCACAGGTTTGGAAATTTGGGGAAAGAAAGGAAGAGGTGTTACCTACTACCACTACCCTCTCTACAACTTCATCATTTTAAGGAGGTGGATTTACAATTACTGCCTACAGTTGGCAGAACTCTAGCTTGTAAAGTATTGCTCCAAAAGTCAAGAGTTTGCAGATTTGTAGGTTTGTAACAGGTGGTTTTTGTAACACCTCTCTGGAACCCATTCAAAACTTAAGGCAGCAGGTCGGTTGGGCTGTAAGAAATCCCCGTCTCAGAAGGGGCACCACCTTTCTCTAACTCCAGGCAGCCACACTAATCACGGCAGAGCTGCAATTACCCAAGGAGTAAGAGAGGGCATCCAACACCCCCAAATCAGGAACCAGCTGCAGCTTTGTGAATGTCTCCCTGTGGGTGCGTCTGCCGCAGTTTCTACCATGCTTTAAAAACACTACGCTTTGCATGAAAAATGACCCCGGCTGTAAAGAGTAGACATCAGACAGCTACTAGGAGCTGGGCTCAGCCCACGTGCTGTGCAGAAATCCCTGCCTACATGATGCATAAGCAGAAAATATTTGTATTTGGCAGGCTCAGCATCAGCCTGGACTGAGCAGATGACCCAAGTCCTGAAACGCCACGCTTGCACTCCTTGAAGAAACCCTTTCCCAAATCCATGTCCTCTTGCAACCCCGACCTCACGCCACTGACCTGCCTTTATTCTGCACACACCAAGGACATCCCAATGAGCAACCGGTCCCTCGTGAATTATGAATCTGAACCCTAGTTCTGATGTGAATTCCCATGCCTCAGCAGAGTGAAGAGTCAGCACAGGGTGTTTCAATTTATGCTGTGAAGTGTGAGCACAATTTCAGGAGCAGGTACTTTGCAGGACAGTCTGATACAGGAATGCAAGAGTGGGAAGTAAGCAATGCAATATAGGGAGCTGACAAGAGTGTTTTTAGCATCTCCTGAGTTTTTCTGATCGAGCTTAGGATGGGAAGTTCTTACGGTTTTGGCTGAAAAGACATGTTTTCAAGAACAGAAGGGAGCACACCACGTGGAGCAGGGTGTTCTTACCTGTGTTTCTGCACTGCTTAAGGAATGCAGATCTAGTGATGGATCGGTTTTGAGCTCAGGCTCAGGAGCTGCAATTGGGGCTTTCACCAGGATATCTTCATCAGGGCTGGCTCCTAATCCTGGGTCTTTCTGGTCACCTCCTGCCTCTTTAGGAGCATCAGTGTCTTTGTCCTCTTCGGACACCTGAGACTTGGGCCTCCTGAGAAAGGATGAGAAGAGGCGGGAGAGACCCCGGCCCTCGGAGGTGCGGCGCTCCTTCTTGCTCTGCTCCTCGTGCGTGGGTGTATCGCCGTTGGAGGCCTTCTGCTTCTGCCCTGCTGCAGGCTGTCCCTCTGATGTCTGCTGAGCACCTTCTTCTAGGGAAGCCTCTTGCTTTTGTGTTTCAGCAGCTCCTTCCTCCTCCTTGGCTTGCTGCTGCTCTGAATTGTCGGCATCCGCTGCTAGACTCTTCTCTGTTGTCATGATGATGCTGCAAGAGAGATCCAAAAGGTCTCAATCAAGAGCTTTCCAATATTTAAGTCCGCATTAAGCTATTCAAACCAAGCCACAAACACAGACACCACGTTCCCCAGTCGTAACACCTTGTCCTGCCAACTCCAGCCTACAAAGCCATCAAGAACAAATCATTCTTTTTTTAAGGTTTGCTTTGATAGAAACATCTCTAGCGACATTTACCCATGCATCTTCCATCATTTGGATGACACTGACTCCAAATTGCTAAATGCCCTGACACTAGGTCTGCAGCCTGACAAGAGCATATGATTAAAATATGGAAATAAGATTAGGGAAAGGGGAGGAGATGGCAGGAGGTCTTGCTCCACAGGGCTGACCTGAGTTCCTCTCTTCATTCAAGTCCCTGTTCCCCTCTGGCAACATTGGCTGTGGGAGCAGAGCAGATGAGAATCATAGAAACATTTAGGTTGGAAAAGACCTTTAAGATCATTGAGTCCAACTGTATGAAGAGAAGCACATGACCTCCTACCACACCTTGCCAAAACCCCAGATGGTCTGCAATGGCCTGCCATGTTACAGCATCCTTCTCCGCAACTGCAACTGGAAGAAATCTGCTACTTGAGTCTCAAAAATTGCATGGCCACGACAAATTTTAACAGCTGCTCACTTCTAAATGCCCCTGAAAGAGGCCACAGGTCCTCACCATGAACTAAAAAGGGGGATACTTAAACATGATGAACCATCCCCGATGCTCTGCTCCAGATGGGACTCATCAGTGCTGATCAACTACATTGATCTACACAAGAAAGGTCCAGTGAAACAGAGCAGGCTTCGGCATCCATGAGATCTTTGCATTGCACATTGGAAAAATGTAAAATGAAAAGGCTTCCAAACAATCCCCATAACGGGGATTTCTTCAGAGCCTGGGCTATTAAGCTGATGCAATGTTTATTTCAACTTTAGCCTGGGCTGTTGACACAAAAAGATGGAAATCACATGAGAAGAATATCTATTTAAGGTATAAAGAGGCCCCAAAATAATCACGCTTTAGAGAGGATAGAACTAATCTTTGCGCGTTGCATCACATGTATCTGCAGCAATAAATTGCCACTGCTTACACAGAGCAAATAGCATTATAATCCAATATGCCTTTCAATCCCACCAGCCCAAGCCTTGGCATACAAACATTTGTTCAAAATACGTACTTAAAATTAAGAAACATTTCAAGATGTCACCCTCCTACATATTAGTGCATTCAACAATTTTAACTCATCCCAATTGCCAAAATAACCAGAGTGCTTGAAAGATAAAAGCTCTTCTAGCTTTCCAAAGTACTCTTCCCCTGCATTTAATGCAAAAGCTTAATATCATTCTTAAAGCTGTGGTTGAAACAAAGCAGCATTAGAGACCTTCACTGAATTTGTTTCCCCCCAGCAATGCAAATTTCCTGGGTTTACAAGGTTTGTTTTGTTTTCAGTTTTGTTTGTTTTTTTTTTTTTTCTCAAGGAGGTCTTTTATAAAAGCAGGGATGGTGATCCCACAGGGTCTGCACTCCCATCAGAGTGATTCAGAGCTGTGTCAGATTTGGGACAGGCTCTCTGAACTCTTTGAAACCTCTTCACTTGGACTTAGCCCCACCAGCCAGCTTTGGGATGAGCTGCAGGGCCCATTTTAGCCTGGTCTCCTGCAGAAGCCGGGTTT